TTCAATGAAATGAAGGTTTTCTGCGAAACGATAGACAAAATGCAATGTATTTTGAATACAAATTATAGTGTTTTGAATGAAACGATTGAATCATTAAATCATTTGGATTTCAATCAAACAATTGATTGCAAAACATTCAAAATCAGTGAAACAATGCTTTCAATTAATGAAATTTAAAGCAGTGATAATTTAATTGCAATTAATAATAATAATGAATATTTTCACTGTCTTTGGAATAATTGTGAATATAAGACTAAATTCATAAGTATTTTAACGAATCATCAATTAATTCATTTAAATAAAAGGCAATTTAAATGTGATTTTAATAATTGTAACACAACTTTTGTGTTGAAATAAACTTCGTTTTGATGTAAAACTTTTGCTACAATTATTGAATTCACAAACAAAAGGTTTATCTCCCGAATGAAAGAGTTTATGTCGAGCTAATTGTGATCTTTGACCATAACTTTTGCCGCAATTTTCTTCAATACATTTAAATGGCTTTTGCTTTAAGTGAACACAACTTTGATGAATAAGTAATTCATCTTTTCGTGCAAAACATTTATTACATTCAGTGAAACCACATTTAAATGATTTTTCTCCTGAATGTATGACTTTATGTTTGTTTAGATCGTATTTTCGAGCAAAACTTTTGCCACAATTTTCTTCATTAAATTTGAATTGTTTTCCTTTCAAATGAACACAACTTTTGTGTTGAAGTAATGAATGTTTGTTTATAAAATTTTTGTTACAATTATTAAAATCACAAATAAATGTTATATTCAAATGAACGCTATTTTTGTGTTCAATTAAATTTGATTTTGATTTAAAAGCTTTTTTACATTCACTGAAATCACAAGCAAAAGGTTTTTCTCCCGAATGTTTGCGTTTGTGTTGCATTAGAAGCTTCTTTTGACCAAAACTTTTGCCACAATTTTCTTCATTACATTTAAACGGCTTTTTCTTCAAATGAACACAACTTTTGTGTTCAACTAAATATGTTTTTGATGTAAAACTTTTATTACAGTCATTGAAATCACATTTATATCTCTTATTTAAATGAACGCAATTTTTGTGTTGAGTTAAATTTCCATTTGTTTTAAAAGCTTGATTACAATTATTATAATCGCATTTAAATTGTCTAATATTTGTATGAATTAATTGATGAGTTGTTAAACACTTTATATATTTAGTCTTGAACTGACATTTAGGCCAAAAACAGTGGAAATACTTATTTGAATGAACAGTATTTTTGTGTTCAATTAATGTTATTTTCTGATTAAAACTTTTGTTACAATTATTAAAATCACATTTAAATTGCCTTTTATTTAAATGAATTAATTGATGATTCGTTAAAATACTTATGAATTTAGTCTTATATTCACAATTATTCCAAAGACAGTGAAAATATTCATTATTATTATTAATTGCAATTAAATTATCACTGCTTTAAATTTCATTAATTGAAAGCATTGTTTCACTGATTTTGAATGTTTTGCAATCAATTGTTTGATTGAAATCCAAATGATTTAATGATTCAATCGTTTCATTCAAAACACTATAATTTGTATTCAAAATACATTGCATTTTGTCTATCGTTTCGCAGAAAACCTTCATTTCATTGAATTTATTCCTCATTTGATTGAAATCCAA